TTTAAATAAATGTCTATCCGGAAGCAAAAGACTAGTCCCACTACAGTGTCTGAGGAATTTTATCTTCACATAACTGGGTCCCCAGCATGAAGACTATGTTAGCAGAAGAGTAAGTTCTGTTCTTAGAATTTAAGTAACAAGCTATTACAAATCTCTTGCCATCTCCTCGTCTAAAGTGACATAGTTTTGAAAACTGAACAATCTCCACCTTTTACTTTGACACAAGAGTGCATAATTTGGAATCTGGATATATACTAGATTTTATCCTTCATACAACCTGCAACCAATGGACGAATTATTAAATCTGAAGAATCATTATGGGACAACCTCACTAAACTTGTTGCTCTAATGTTTTAATGTTTTCCGTTGCGGTACCACTGTGCTAAACTCTGCACTGCTCCTCAGCCGAATTCTCCCGCGATGACACCAGTGACATGGAGGGCACATCGGTTCTGGCCACATAACCTACTATCTATCCCCTACAGACTTCAGCAAATGGTCCTCCTGCTTCCCTCGCTGTTCAGCACACAATCCAAATGACCGCTGCCTACTGATCTTCAACGTAAAAATACAAATAATCTCATTTGCAGATACTCTCATGCTGCAGAAATTACTTGTGTTAGATTGCATACCTGATGCTTCAGCGAAGAGGACTCCAAGAAGAACACTGCTACAGTCTCTGTTGTACAGGCACAGGGACTACCACAATGGCTGCATTTTCTTCCTTAACTCAACCTGCATTACTAGGCTTACTACAGAGTTCACACGGGTGTCAAGTAGGCTCCCTAGGACAGTCTGCAAAGGCACCGCCAAACCACAGCCTGCAAACACTTCCAAATACACATCTTGGAAGGCATTTAAAAAAAACGCAAACCTTGTCTATTTCATGGTTATACCCATTTTTTATTTTTTTTGTTTCCTTTGGGATGGGCTAGCACTTCTGCCAATCAAACACTGCTCAAATGACACATCAGTTTATGGAAATTGCTGCTCCCCAAAATTACATTGTTAAAATGGGAGAAAGGAGGTAAGGAAAGGGGACACATCTGTGACCAGACAGGTGTACTGGAAAAGGTGGTGTAACTAAGTCTTTTCTCTCTTACACGTTTATTGAAAAGGACAAGTTTCCGGTTACTTTAGATTCCCAGCTGCAAAATGGTGGTGTATGACCTAATCACAAAGCTGTACGGTGAACATCACGCACCTACTCAAACACGTTACATATGGGACTGCTTTAACATAACGTTATTTGAAAACATATGGCCTAAAAAATAACCTACAGTACGTGGCATATAGTTGTACAGGCTTCTTGATAAAGAACATATTTTATCAAAATAAAGATGAATGAGATCCCAAAATATTTATCAGGTGTTTTTCTTACAATTAATAAAATCTTTTATTTGGTATGTCAAAAGTTTTCTCTTTGAGGCACACAAATAAATGAGACATTAGGATTTTGTAAAAGTGAAGAAAATGCCTTCCACAATATAATTATATCTAAAGCTTCTTCCAGGCTACTCCAAATCATTTTGTGCAAGCATTTTAGTAATTGAATCAAATATGTGAAAGCAAACAGCACAGTGAAGTAAATTAGAAATAAAAGCGAGAGTATTTAAACCTAGTGGACCAATTTTCAACATATGAAAAGACTGCAAATTCTCACATTAAATTAATTAGTAAAACCAAAATCAGTAGCACTGGTTAACATACACAAAAAAAATAATGAGTTAACCATCAAAAAACGTACAATGCAGATTAGATATGGGAAAAAAAGTAATGGTAAAATGCAATAAACGGATGCTGCACAAAAGTGTTTTTTTTCAAGGCTAAGCCTTAGGCCCAGTTTTGTTTACATCTTCAACAGATGTATCACATTCATGAGTTACCAATTACATTGAACCAGGAAGAACTGTACGTAAAAGGGAAAAAATAAAAATAATTTAGTGCCCTCAGAGATCAGAAGTTCAAAGCTTATAAAAGACAGGATAATTATGAAACAGGAATTAAGTATCTAGCTACAAACGAATCAGCAATATACTGAAAATGACGAAGAAACTTGTGAAGCAGCAATGCTCAAAGTTATTTTAGACAGCTGTCAGAAGTAAAGAAATAAAATTTGGGTTTCTGAGATGCTAGCCAGAAGACCAAAAGTTTGGACTTCCTACACAAAAGCATCATGTTAGAGAGGAAAGAAACCAACCAAACAAAAACTACACTTCACAGATGACCTTCAGACTAAGTCCAACAAATCATGCATGCGGAATGGTGTTGTGGGCACCAAGATACAGAGAACTGAGCTAAAAAGCTGAAAACAAGAGGAAGTTGTGTAAAAAGAGCAGACTAAATAACAGCTTGAAGAAAGTGGAAAGGAATGGAAACATACCACTAGAACCACTGTGTGCATGCAGGTTCCAAATTACAGAGATGATGAGGAATATGTAAAATGGCACAAAACATGGCTTGGAATACTGGCATGAAGTTACAAAAAAGAACTATCAAACACCGTGTTAATCCTCCTGTCAGTGAGACGCAATCACTGAAATAATCTTCAAAAGGAAGCCTAATTGTTTAGAACATATATAAAACCTCACTGGCCAAGACAATATTAAAATGCACAAGTCTACAACCCTGTTTTAGCAAGCAGATGGACTAGATAACCTAAATAATTTTTTCATCCCTAGCTCCTATGATGATGTTCAGAAGATCTGACAGGCTCATGCACAATACCCCGCAGTCCTACAAGTATGTGAGCAAGTACAGTAAAAAGACATTGACATCAATTATGAAGACCAGCACAAAAATATATATACTCCACAACCTCTTTGTAAGGCTACATTTGTTTTGTTTTGTTTTTTAAAGGCACCTCATCCTCTAGCTATTGCCAGCTTTTAAAAAAATCACTTTTCAGTTTGAGCAAGAGCTCAATAGTGAGAAGGAAACATCTTTCAATTCACATTTGAACAGCCACTTTTACATTCCAATTGTAATCAGAATGACAGTCTTTAAAAACAAGCATGCTGGCCTATTAGTTTTATGTACAACAATTTAAACAACTGTAACTACATATTGTATTGTGTAAGCAATAGCACAACATTCATTGCATACTCACACCATTATCCTTTGTATACACAAACTCAAGAGAACTCTTAATACTAAAACATTAAAATGCACCCATGGAGTCTTCCCTTACTAGACACATTTAATACATGTTTACAATATATATACATATATAATATACATAACTTCTAGAATTTTTCAAATAAATCTTTGCAATTTCCTCTTCAAAAAGAAATAAAATAATGACACTGAAAGAATGTGAGTCAAGTACACAGAACTCTCACAAAGTTGAATGCTCAGTTTTGCAGCCAAGTTTCCCCCTTTCCATCATAACCAAAACGCTTTATAAAAACTAAATAATCTGAATTACTATTGTAGTCATCTGTTTCATGGTAAAAGTTCTAATCTTATCTATGGAAATATATTGCATATCAATATAATGAAGTGACATATCTGACTATTCTGAGCAATATAAGGTATTCCAGGATATTCAGCAGTAAATATAATATGTTGCAGGCTCAAACAGCACAGGTCAACCTTTTCTTCTAAATAATATAATTGATTTAAACTCTGAGATCAGCTTTAAATGTGGTCCCATCCCCAAATGCCACTCTAGAAACAACACAGTCAAACCCTGTGTTGATACCTTTCAATGATTCCTTTTCAAAAAGTGTCAGTTTAAAGGTAAAGATTTATTTATCAGTTTCCAGTCTTAACGTCAGGCTGGTATGTGGAAGAGTTGCACTGGGTTCTTTCCTACTCACAACAGCACCAGAAATAATCTCCATCAGAAATTCTGCCTTCCATTCCCATTAGAGGAAAACACCAACTTCAGGCTTATGAGCAGTAATAACTCTTGATGATGACACAACAGAAAGAGACCATCCACCTTCCTTTAAGAAGGGATAAAAAGACTAAAAGATCAGATTAAAAGTTATTTGTCATTCAAATCAACAGAGAAGCTCTGAATGCATAAAGAAAGCACATCTGTTGAGTAATCACAAGAACTCCTCATTCTTCAGGTAACCTAATCAACGGCACGATACGCCCAGTGAAGTGGGCTAGTTAAAAAGTTCCACAAATGGTGAAGCTGGGAAATACCTCTAGAAGCAGCAGAATCTCTCAGACTGATGGAACTTTGTATAGCTCCCACCTACTGCACTAGTAGGACTCATACAAAGCACCAGGCATAGGTTTAATCTTCAAAAGAATTATTTCAGTGTTATCCTTAATGCCCAGAATGATACCCTTTTTAGCAGGAACAGAAAGAGGAGGTGAATGTTTGGTAGTTAAATTGTAGGACAGCTTCTTTGGAAAGCTTTGTGATAATTCCTTGTGCCAGATCTCCAAGAATAAACAGCATTATAAATCTGAATAAGTTAAATCTGCTACTACAGTATATACAGACTGCTTCAGTCTGTTGTTAGTTGGGAGTAGACTAAAGGCTCAGCTTCCAGCCACACGTTAATACAGTCTTTAAAAAAATTATATAATTTTTTTTCAAACTAAGTATTTACTGTATAACACAGAAGATGTAACAAAAACTTTACTGCATTTTAATTCATGTTAGTAATTTGCTCTCCTTTAATTGCATTTATCTTAGGCTAGCAGCCAGGTGGCTGAGATAAACTATCTGCTACTGCTCTCTGAACAAGATCTACTTTATTAATACCAGAGGGATGACGAAGTGCCTCTCACAGGACACAGTAATGAGCATGTGAACTGACACTTTTTCCCAGTGATTTAATTTTAAGTACATTAAGATTCCTCAATGAGAAGCATCCTAGAAAGTTTCCCTCTTTTCCTACTCCCTGATGCAATTAGACCCCTTCTTTCCAGTACTCCATTTTATTAACAGAGAATACATAGACCTAGTTTCACCCAAGGCCTGCCTGGACGAAAATTCACACCCTCTGAAATAAAAGCATCTCTCTTGTTTTTTTAACTATTTGAAACTGAGAGTTTCCAAGCTCTCAGCACCAGCTGAGCTCACAGAAACCAGAACAAACGTCAATTTAGAAAACAGCACCCTGCAAAACTAAACACTTACAAACATTCTCTGAATTCTAGGGCAGGATAAGACAACTCATGCCCTCCTCTTCTCTTTTCTGCAGCTGGTTAAATATATACAAAGCTAGAGTTGAAAGGGAAGCACTCTGTCATACAAACACTTTAGCCAGGGCATCTGCTCCTGCACTGGCAATATAGCATTTGGAGGGGTGGAATGCCACATCATGAATGGACTCATCGAATTTTTTGCGATGAGCAGTAAATTCTTGGATGCAGGTCTTGCTTTCAAGATTCCACAAACGTATCGAACAGTCATGACCTAAAGAAAGGGGAAACAGTTTTCTTCATAATTCTCACGTCTGCCACCATTATGAGAAAAAGAAAATGAAATCTGAATATACTTACTGCCAGACATCAAATACAAGCCATTAGGATCAACGGCTAAACTTGTAACTGCATCTAAGTGGGCTACCATGGAGTGGATCAGTTTTCCTTTGAAAGAAAAGATTTATTTAGGTTATTTTCTGCAATTCATTTTGTATCTGTATTCACTGCTTAAACCCTAACACAGCTTGTATTATAAAAGCAAGCTCTTGTCCCATGATTAGAAGAATGACTTCTTGCATAATTTTAACATTTACAGTCTCAGGAGAGCCACACTACCAGTATCACCAACTTTGTTAGACCTTTGTTTTATGTGTGCAAAACCACCATGAAGCTGCAATCATGGTGCATTTTAAATATCTGCCCCTTAAGTGAGTTAAGCGAATTCAGGAGTAAGATCTTGACTGGGAAGGAGGACGGGATGAGTGCACTAATAAGCAATGAATATAAACTACAAAAGCATACGGGATAATTTTAGTCAACTCAGAAAGAATTATTGTTCTATTACAGCTTATTACAATTAAAGTAATGATTTAATAGTAAAAATAAGAAATCATAGGTCAACTGTGGGGGTTTTTGTTGCAGAAGATAGTAAAATAGGAAAAAAAAAAGAGCACTGTTTCCTCTACTATATTACAGAACTACAGCATCAAACAAATCACCTATTTTCAGCTTTTTCCTCAGCTTCCACTGGGTCCTCTCACTCCTTATTTAACATACGTCTGTGCAGTAGCAAACTTAAAATCAACAATATCGAAAGATCTCAATTTAACTTTTAAGACAGTGTGACCTGGAAGCAGACAAGTCACAAACTGAAGATTCTCAAGATTCACAGTCAGAATACCAGATTACTACTACCAATCCTATCAAAAAGTCCTTTAAAACCTAAGAGTTTTATAATTACACATCTCAGTGTGACTCTCACTACAAATTAGAAAAAGTATTAGAAGCTGTCCAGCTGTTTCTGCAGAAGGGAGAGATTTGGAGAAATACAGTGGATCAAATTGAAAATGATGCCTACAAGGGAACTTCCAACTCCAAGCCATCAGGCAGAGGTCTTGGAAGCACTAAAGGAGTGCCAGAGCTTCCTACGCTCAGATCAAAATAACACTGACAACACAACAGAATAAACATGAACATAAGCACAGGAACCTTTTAAAAAAAGCTTCCTATTGATAACCCCCACACATAAGTCATTTTAAAAGAACAGACAGAGAATGATGCAGGTTCCTTATCACTGTGCCAACAAAGTTTTAACTGGGCTGGCAATCTTTGGGCTCTATGGTGATGAGAGATTTCTGTTTCAGAGGATGTCCAATTTTTGACATCACTCAGCATTTAAGTGAATAACACTAATCATAATGAAATTCTGTTTATGTTTTATGTTATACAACTTCCATGATGATAACCCACTGAAAAGATGCATACCTGTATTGTTGTCGTAGAATTTGATGTGTCTGTCTTCATGAGCAGTGATACTAATCGGAAGAGTTGGATGGCTGATGACTCTGTTTATCTGACAGGAGGAACTGACTGCTAAGAAAAAAACCCACACATATCAATACATGTAAATTGCTAAGTTCTTTGAAAGACTGCTACTAAGAAATAAATGTCTAATACATCTTATCTGCAAAACGAGTCTTACCTTTATATAATGGAAACTCTCAAGTAGCACCTTATGTAATGTGGTTTACTCTAAAATACCTTGCAAATTACACACACATACAGAGGCATACATAAACAATATGTATGAGTGCAAATGCAAAGAAATAAGGTCCAACTTCTGGACACAGTTTTAGATGGGCACGTCAGGTAAGAATGTGAAGCCAAAAACTGAGTGAAAATACTTTTTTGGCATTTCTCCACCTCCACATTCCTCCTCTGGTCAAGCCAAACTTTCTTTATAACATACAGTCAGTACAGGAAAATTAACATTGCAGGCAGTATGTTTCCAAGGAAACAGGATCCTGTGCCCTGACCCTCACAGAGCAAAACACACCTATACTATTATTTGATATAGAGATTAAAATTATTCTTGAAGAAAAGGATGCTAGACTATTCATAGGAGAGCTGTTTTCCTAGCCTTCAAGAATCTCGAAATATCATATATACAACATACACACACACACAAAACAAGCATAGCAGTTTTTTGACTAGAAAGCTAGGCATTGCTGTGATGCACAGACTAGTGCAAGAGTAGTCCTAGGAGCCACAGATTACCACAAAAACACAAATAGCCACTCCACAAAACACCAAAATACAGTTATCTTCTTTCATGTAAGAGTTGACTGTATTTAGTTAAACTGCTGCCAAAGAACACTCACATCATATAATCAAAATTCTTACTGAAATAAGCAAAATAGAATACTACTATAGGATCACTTGCTAACAAGGTGATGAAGACTTCAATTTACATCTTTTTATAAAAATCTGAAACTTCAAGTCCTTCATCCACAGAATACTTAAAAACTACAAAAGTGTCAATTAAGGAAAAAAACCCACATCCATATTAATAACCCCCCCTAAAAGTACTAAAAACACATAAGACTGCATCACAGCCAGCTATCCTCACAGTTTTAAAATGCCAGCGTGAGGCTTATACTGAACAGCAGATCTTAAAAAAGCAACTTTTTCTTTTTTTTTTTTTTTTTTTTTGGTTGTGGGTTTTTTTTTTTTAAGTACATACTAGTATCTACACTGGACTCCAGGGTAAGAATTCGTTGCCGTGTCTCCATGTTAAAAATGCAAGTGTGTCCACTGTTAAATGATGCTACCATGAGGCTTGGGTCACTGCTCACAAGATCTACTGATGAAGGGATTCCCATTTCTAGAAAACAATGTAGAGAGCATTTTCGTAAGATTTAGTTGGTATAAAGAAAACAAAAAACCCCATTCAAAATCCCAAGCAGTAAGCACTTTAATAGCAAAAGGGTCATGATTGGGAAAAGAAATGTTACATTTTAAAATCTACATTATACTGATCTAAATAGATTGCCCTGCATGATCACTATTTTAATCCCATTTTTCTGATATGCATATAAAAAACATTCTTTACTCAGATGCTGTATCCAGAACTGCAGCTGGACAGAAACCTACTTTGAAATTAAGCAAGTAAGAACTCCCTGCCCCCTCTTCCTTCCTTTACCTGCAAAAGCAATTCTCAACCAAACCTCCATTATATCAAGTAAAAAAAGATATGAAATTGAAGTGGTAGAATCATTTACACAACAGATGATTAACATTATTATTAACCTGGGCAAATTCAGAGTTTAAAAAAAACCCAAAGCTTTCCAGGTGCAAATTTTATATGCTGACAGTGTCAGCATGGAAAGTTACACAAGTACATTATAAACTCATATTACAAAGTGTCTTCTGTCCTGCCTATTATGGTATACATGTGATCTCCTTACAGTATAGTTATCTGAACACTACAGGACAGAAGACCAAATCAGCAGAGCTTGGGTACAGGAAATTTCCCTTAGAATTTTTCTCCTCAAATGTCCTGTTCACCACCTGCTATGTGAAAGAACACCACCGGTTGCAACAGACGCCAGGAGGAGGAGGAAGAGACAGAGAGACTGAATGTTAAGCAACCTAACGTCCACGGATCCAGGTAACAGAGAGTATCATCACCTCTCTAAACCTAAGATTCATAGGAGAAACACCTTTCTTGGACACACCACCTCAGGAATGTTGCTCAAGTATGGTGGTACTTATCTACGGATACTCCAAGAAAGTCAAAAGGGATTGTGTGAGAAGAAAACCTGTATTGTTTCTGAAGTGACCTTTTCTACCACTGCTGTGCCTGCTTATCTGCAGCTCCCTGCTAGCCCTACAATGGTTAATCTAAAGGACTTAAACGATGACTGCTAGATATTGTAGAAAATTTGTTAAAGGTTCTCAGTAAGCCACAGGGAAAATTCAGTTTCAAAGGAGGATCTCTGAATTTTGCAATTGGATTTCATTCCAGTTTGGAAGATAAAAACCCTAAAGATTAGCTCTGTGAGGCAAGACTAATTATTAAATTAAATTATTAAATTAAAACAAAACAAACAACAACATAAAAACCCAAACAAAAACTACTACCAGGAAGTTTTTGAAGTAGACAGGTAGGCAAGGTGGCAGCAAACCAGTTATGTTTTTGACATGACCGTGCAGACATTTGGAAACATAGTCTGCGAGAGCTAAACTACATGACACATTTCTATTTTGCTCAGTCTATTTTAACTAACAAGTAACAGCAGATCTGACTAGATTTACACCGTAATTTGATAAGTTTGTTCAATTACACCAAAGTTTATTTTGCCTCAAAGTTGTCCTGAAGAGCCAAAGAACTGTCTCAGTTCATGGGCTGGCTTTAGGACCACCAGCTGTAAGAGAGTTTGGCAATGTCAACAGGCTCATTCTAGAGCACTTAAACAGTAACTTCAAGCAATTGGGCTCTAAATGATAGGATTTTGATTTCTGCATGACATTTCAGTAACTAAATCCAAAGGACTAAATTTTTTCAACTAGCAGTGTTTAGGCTAAGTTATTGCTATTTAGTCAATGTGCAAACTCAGAAATTCAACTGGAATCTCTGTGTTAGAGGCACGAGGAACAAAATCTGAGAAAGTACGACAACACTGGCCTGAGCCGAAGCACTGGCTACTCCACACCTCTGTGTGGGGGAAGAAAAGGCTTTTGATTCTGAACAAACCAAAAGCAAGGGCCTAATGGAAACTCAATTTGAATCTGAACTATGGAGCTGATACATTCTATTCCATGGGTCTAGTAACATCAGCAGATCATCTGCAGCAGTTGGCTTTTAGGTGTGCATGACTGTCCCCCTGTGTGTATCTACTCAGCTCATGTCAAAGGAGAAGGGACCCAAAATTTACTCCCTGCCAAAACATTCATAAAGATATAAAATCCAAAACAACAAAACAAACAAGAAAGATTTCTACTCAGTAGCCAAACCAGAGATGTTCATGAACTTTTAAGGTAGGGCACTTTTCTGTACCTTGATTATCATTAAATACATTGAGAGCTGGAGCAATTTCTGTAGCTTTCCATAAACGTATAGTGCCGTCTGCTGAACAGGACAGCAAACGCTGGTGTGCTCCACTGTAAACCAGACCCCACACTGCATCTGTATGGCCTACAAAAGCACCTCTTAGAACAGAAGGATCTGTGAACAAAATACAACAAACCACATTTCAAAACAAAATCTGATTTAAGTCAATAGCTGTATCTTGGTCTGTGTTTATGGACAAACCTTAACAAGCTAGTCCATTTAAAAAAAACAACAACAAAACAGACAAGACCAATCAGGTCATATCAATATAGAAGTCTCACTTATTCTTGTATGAAGATTCTTGAATTTCATCAGCATACATGGTATTCAGTTATCCAGTTTACAGCTAATGGAACAAAACAAAGTTTCACCAGGAGGTACAGTGTCAAAGCTGGCAAAATGCACTTTGATTTTAAAATTCACTCTCAAACAGCCATTAACAGTACATCAGTCTTTTTTCCAAAAGCCAGTTTTGAGGTCAACCGCATCTGAAGCTACGAGAAGCGAAAAATGTTTCAAAACACAGACACAAGGTTGACATCCATTCAGATCTGGGAAATCTTACCAAACTGGTCCTTTTCAGCTGTTTGCAGACATTAACAGCTTTGGTCTCAGACTATACAACCTTTTTTTATCTTAACTGCACAGAGATTTGTCAAAGAAAAGAACATTAAAATACACATTTGCTGTACTTGCCAAGCATGTGGTTTAGTACTGTACTTTTTCAACCCAGCTGTTTGTCAAACTTGTGATGAGTTCAAGGCCTTTTTTAAGAAAATGACAAATTTTATCTTCTCATCAACCAGCACGAATATTAAAACAAAAAATTACTTAAAGTAATTGAAGCCAACATTCAGTTTTCTATTTTAAATTTTAAAAGAAGCATTAACTGCAAATTATACTATTTTAGCTAGATAACATTAATGATCACTTCACTGGTGTGCGTGACAGCAATGTACCGTAAGAGTCATAAGGGTCGATGTTCGGGTTGGTTGTATTCCAGCCATGGATGAGGCCATCCGTTCCCCCACTGTAACACTGCTCACCGTTACTGCTCATCACCACACAGAGCACTGGTCCACTGGAAGAACCCCCCCCCCCAAAGAAACATTGGCTATTAACATTTTCATTATGTGAAAAACAATGTCAACTGACTCTTCAAATTTCCGTTAGACCCAATTCACTTTGCTGCATGGACTGCAACAAAAATTCTACATAGTCAGATCATATGCTACAACACTTCCCACAAAAAACCTGCACAATATTTGATCATGTAACTACAGTCAGAACAATTTAATCATTAAGAAACATTGGCTATTAACATTTTCATTATGTGAAAAACAATGTCAACTGACTCTTCAAATTTCCGTTAGACCCAATTCACTTTGCTGCATGGACTGCAACAAAAATTCTACATAGTCAGATCATATGCTACAACACTTCCCACAAAAAACCTGCACAATATTTGATCATGTAACTACAGTCAGAACAATTTAATCATTATGTACACGAAATATGAAAAGTGTCACACTTTTAAACTATAGGCTTTGTTATTCTGCTTAAACAGACTTTTCTCTTTTTTAAAAATCTAAAGCTCTTTCATGAAATCGATTCAGGAGATTTTAATTCACTGCAGACAACTTCATCCTACAGATGCACATATCTGACAAAAGGGCAAGAGCAGCAATGATGAACAGAACACCTAACAAAATTTGAACTGTATAATTTGTAGGGTTTTTTTAAACTGTGGTATACCTAGCTCCAGACATAAATAATTATGCAGAAGGGAGATGAACATATGCAGATATTTTAAATAACAAGGGAACTAAAAGCATCACATTAAATTACTAGTTGACACGGTGGAAATACTTTTTAAAAAAATTCTGTGTCTGTTAAAAATCATGTATTTCTCAAAATATGACAATGTTCTCAGGAAATACTCACTTATGTGCTCTGAAAGTATATATTGGCTCTACATCAAGAGAAGCACTCCTAAATGAAGTACAAGAAAATATTAACATGTATATGATCTTAAACAACGCTTTACAAAAATGTGCCAGAATTGCTAAATTCTAAAAATCACTGCTACATCTTCTAAGGTGTTTGTCCCACGACTTCCTCTCCCAACGTGATTTTTCATATGTCTAGTAATTCTTTGTATTCTTTCAAAATATGATAGCATTTTTTTCGGTTTTTGTTTGGTTTGGGGTTTTGATTTAAAGACCTTCAAGGTAGAGAGTCCACGAACTCTCACACACAAATCAAACCAGTAGGTACATCAATGGTGGGGAGGGAGTGGAGGACAATCAGTATCACATCAAATATCTCATTAAGCGTTCCCAATCCCTACCAGAAGAAAGCAGTTTATGACATCTTGTGTTTATACCAATGCTACAGCACAGTTACAAACCACTTAAAGAACTGCTGCTCTGGACTTTACCAATCAGGTGCTTGTTACAGACTGCAGGAAGACCACATGCTTTGCTCAGCCCTCCTCTACAAGGTATGACGTACTGCCTTACTACATTAGCCTCGCTAAGAATTTGCTCTCATTTCTGCAAATCCCCAGCAACACACAAGAGACAGTGTACAAAGGAACCTAGCAACATCTCTGTCAAAGTTTAAAGCTGCACACACTTATATGTATATAAAATGCATTTTTATACATTTATATACACATGCAAGCACGCTAACAGGCCACATCCAAATATCTTCACTAGTAAATTAATTTGCCATGTTATCTACAAGGAAAATATAAAAAAATGAATGGTTTTCATTTCCACAAACAAAACACATTCACGAACATGCATGGATTTCTGCTGGCACTCTTTAAAAGTCTCCATCCTTCTCTACGAGCTTGTTTTTCCACTCTTAAATTCAAGGAACAATTTCCATTAACCGCAGGGGCCATCCAGTGAAGTGGCATCTACAATTTTTTTGGCTTCATAAACGATTTTTTTTTTTAAACAAAGCAAAATATAATCTTACTTTTTTGCTGGGGCTGTTTTTTGTAAATTCCACATTTTTAATGTATGGTCCTCTGAAGCTGTTATTAAGACTGGTTCAACCGGATGAAAAGTGAGACCTCTTATTCCATCAAAGTGACTTCTTAATGTGAACTTGGGGTTCCAAGTCTTTCTCAATGCATCCTTATTGTTTGCTATCTAATAAAAAAAAAATGCCAAACTTGTAATTAATCTAGAAGACACAAGGAAAGGAAGAAATCAGAAATTTAGTTTGGCATTTTCAGAAGGTATCAAGTTACCTCACCCACTTTTCATAACCACCTGCTATTAAGCAACAGTCCATTTAACACTGATCAGACAATTCAAAACGAGTACAAAAGTAGATGTAGTCCACAAAGGCAGTAAGTAATGTAGTGTTCACAGTAATACATTCTGTGCAAATCTGAAATACTCCACATGTCTCAAGTTACACAATTTAAAAAATGAGAAGTACCTTTCTGACTGATACTGCTGGGAACTCAGTTTGGTATTTGAGAGTTGATCTGTACCTACTGGCTCATTCATTAACACTGAGACCGATTCAACCAAGTTGTGCCCCCTGAATATCCGAAGTACCACTGATACGGCATTTCTGAAGTAAAGATCTAACAGTCAGAGAGAAATGTCTAGCAACAAAAAGGAACACAATCTAACTTACTCACCTAAGACAACAAAAGTTCTGTAAGTAAAGCTTGCCAAGAAAAAAAAAAAAAGGGGCAAAAAGGAACTTGGCAAAAAGGCACTAAAAAAAGGCAAAAGGACTGAGAATGTAACTGGCAAGCAATAAGCTATTGTATATATGGACACATTTGGCAATAAATGCATTTTTAGCAGATCCAAAAAGAAAGCCCTTCAAAAAAAAAAAGTTACTTCAACATTGCTCCCCTGAACAAATGTTAACGTAAAATGGTGAACAGACTTTTACAACTCTGTCAGTCAACACTGCCATAGTTAAATTTACCTTTGTGTAACCACTGCTGATGGTGGTTATGGAAAACCAGGAAAACAAACAATTTTAACTCAAATATTGATGATTTCATTCAGTTGAAAGCTACAGATAATACCAAATATTTAGTCGCATTAACTGCAAAGAAGAGACAACTGTTTCAAGCCACTTCAAGAATCTGCATTTTATTCTGGAATGGCAGGGGTAAGAACAAAGTGCTCTTTCTTAAGTTCTGTTACTTCTAGATTTAATAATAAAATACTGTGCTTCAATCAAGAGGTTCTATAGATTTTTAAACAATGAGCAAGGAGTCGCAACAAACAGCAGGTTTAGTCTCATCATAGTTCTTAGTAATTATGCACTGTCTGCCCAGGAAGACAGCTCAGTTTCTTTGCCAGTTTACCAGGCTGAGCTGGCTCAACAAGGGAACAAATGCTGGAGCTGGTGCAAGGACGGGGCCGGACTGCAAAGTAAGCCACTCTGGCAGATTTTCTGGAGATTGGCCAAGAAAGTCTCAGTAAAAAGGGTACAGGCATAAAAAGTATTCACAGATATCTGGAGAGGAATTTGGTTGCCTCAACAAAGGCATCTAATGCCGATTAGGTGACGGAGGGTACCCCATCTGCCCTCCAGCTGCCATACCAGCAACACCGCCCTGCGTCACCTCTGCGAAAGCCACACAGACACCTCAGACGGCCTAAGAGTGCACGCCACTTCTGGTAGGATGATATTCTCCATCTGCTTCTCATTAACTCAGAGATGTTCTTCCAAAGGAGTCCAAGATGATTAGCTTATAAATTGGGAAGTAGCAGGCAGTCCCAGCCAGCAGACCAGCAGCAGAGATGGAAATAGATCCCAGCCCTGACACACAGCCTGCCTGGCTGGACCACCATCAGCCCTCTTCACCCAGCAGTCTCTCACAAGCCGCGAGAGGCTGGGTTACTAACGTGGCAGCCAGCCTCCTTTTCTCTCTCCCCACTAAAATGCAACACTGAGGTAATCTGAGAGTCAAAAAGCAGCTGGGGCTGGGAAGGATGTTCAATGCCAAAAGTGGCACCTGATCTGGATTTGCCAGTAATAGTAGTATCTCTGTCTATACAGAGAACTTGAAAACTCCAGAAACAGCAACGATATGCAAGTAGGATTATGGACACTTCTCTTGTTCAAAGCTGCAGGAAATCAAGCAAGACTTGATTGAGTCTGCAAAGTCCAAAATCTCCAAGTCTGTACCCAATATTTAATGTAATGATTTTGTAGTTCAGATACTCTTATGTGCAGTACTCAGTCCATTATAATTTTATGAAGCTTCTTAATCTGCCCAGAAGACTAAAAACCAGAACCAACCAAAGTGAACATTTTTTAAGACAACAATGTGTAAAGGAAGCAAAAAGAAAAGATAAACTTAAGAGATTATTGGCTAGCAATCTGGGAAATGTCATCTTGTTAGATATCCTAAACACTTACCCACAAAAAGAAAATTTTATTTTTTCAGTAGTAGATTCATAATCTCCATTACCAAGTGAAAACCATTCTTTAATTTACAGACACCCAAGGCAACATGTAAAAAATTTAAACCATGAAATGAGGTAAGCTAATGCTGCCATGTTTTAGAAAAAAAAAGAATCCAGTAAAAGTGTCAGTGGGAAGAAAGAGACTGAAAATAGGAAAGCATCTGCAACTCTTGAGAGAAAATACATTCAAAGACTGATTCACATGAAATCTTTCAAGTTGATTCTCCATATGATTCAAAATTGACACGTAAAAAAAACCATCCTAAGTTTCCACTAATCCTACTTGATTGACGTTTTGCAGTTGGAAGAAGACATGAAGTAGTCCAAAATAAAAAGAGATTATATTATTTGCAATCTAAACATCCAGTGAAATTTGAAATGGAAAAACTAGCCCTTCATTTTGCTTCAATAAGGAGCACAGTGACAAGACCAAGGAGCTTTGTAAACGATTTCTTTTTTAAATTGTCAGCACTAGAAACAATAAGAGGTGAGGTAAACATGACTATGAATTCCTGCTCACAGGACTTCATAAAAGCATTTAACAAGTGAGTAAACAGAAGTTAATAATCTCAACCATGCAGATGAGGATAGGGGTGGATAAAGCAATGCTAGATTCCATAAATGAAAGCTGTTAGTTCAAGATATGGACACATGGACAAACACTATAGTTTATATGGACACTTGAACAATTCAGTCAAGTAGTGAAAGCATTAAGCTCTTGTACAGATGGTTTAGGTTTGTCATATCTTTTGAATTTAAAAATTCAGCATCAAAGTTTTAGGTGTAACTGTAAAAGAAATTAAATTTGTATACCATCTTACCGCTTTTTGGAGGCAAAGTTAGGGAAGATTAGCAAAAAAATTAAGAGCTAATTAAGAACCCAAATTAGGAGACAATGCTAAAATACTGAATTTTAGCAGAGGTGTTCTCTATCACTGCAATCCTGATGATTGACCAGACATCACATGCTCAGAAGTCTGCTACAGTAGTGGAGCACATCTCTGCAGTGTCACTCTCAAAATGTGTGTAAGCTTTTATTAACTATGTAGTTTACTGCTTTACAAGCACATAGAAGGGTAGAACTTCAAAGTAAGAACCTGCAGGTTATTTCTGAAGTCTCAAGTTTGATTTGCGATAGTAAAATCCCAGATGGTAATTATTTAAGAGTCAGATTTACTGAAGGATATGATTCCTCCCCAACGTGCAATACTAAAAAAAAAAAAAAAAAAATTATCTCTGAAATCTCTCTGAAACCTTGACAAAGCTGGACAACACAACAGCAAGATTAATCTGAACTTGGCAGATCACAAAGGAGCAGATGATTAAAGTAATACCTGAAGTATTTTTTTCCAAGAAATCAGAAATACAGACAAAAATTGTGTACGAGTGCAAAGAAGCAATTCTAAGAAAGATTTTTCATAAAAACTGAAAGAAAAAGAAGCCAGAGACTACACACATAGCCACAGAAGTGCTGGCCACAAAAGCCTCCTAAAAAGTCTCTGGTCCAGCTTCCCATATGAAATGAGATTATTGCCCACAACAGGTAAAGTAAGCCACAGCTCTCTCCCCAGCCAAGCCTTGAACATCTCCCAGGAAAGGAATTCCCCAGTTTCTCTGGGTAACTTGCTTCAGTACAACCTCCTACATAATGCTTTTTCCCCTAATGTCCAACCTGGACCTCACAAGTCGTAATTTGCTACTGCTTCCTCTTGTTTTAACACCTGGCACTGTGGAGAAGCTTGGCTCTGTCATCCTTGTAAGCATCCTTCCAATACCTGCAGGCTGCTATTCAAGCACCCCTTAGCCTCCTAACAACTGAACAAAACTAGTTCCCTCAGCACCTCCTCATCAGTCACATGCTACTGGACTCTCTCCAGTTTCTCTACAATCCTCTCGAAGTGGAGGGGCCCAAAACTGCACACAGGCATGGGCTCACCAGCCACATGTAGAGGAAACACTAACTTCCCTCAATCTGCGGGACATACTAGTCCTAATTTTGCTCAGCATCACGGGATTACAAGTATCCAGCTGTATCACTATCACTAATTACATTTACTTTCAACTTTCAACTATTTGAATGACATGGCAGGCAAATGAGAGGAGATGGTCTTGCAGAGAGCTTGAAGGCTGCTTTGTATGGGAAGAACAGATCTGTGACAACCTCTGGCAGCATAATTTTAACAGGAATATGTTTTCTGCTGAGTCGACACACACATAACTTGCATCTGCCTTCAGCAAGTAGACAGTAGGACCTTGAGTTACCATTAATAACCACTTACATCATAAGTCAGTGAATCTGCCTCATTGGCTACCGTAAGGCCTGCCAGTTCTCCAAGACCCAGCTCATTTTCAAGGGCTTCATCTGTTCCCATAATGAAAGATTTCCCTGAAGAAGGAGGAAATGTTAAAGCTTCCACTGCAAGAAAACAAAACAAAACAAAAAATCCTGAAACATGGGTTTATACAAGGTTGATTGATAAAAGCATATTTTCTACTTTCAAAATACTACACATCTCTCAAGTAGCTGAGGATAAAAAGATATAAAAGGTTGCATAAAAAATAGCCATTCTGAAGGTAATGACTGTACTTACCAATAAACAGTATCCTCTGAACATAATACTTAAACGCTTGAGGTGTGCATGACTCAAGACAGTAAGTGTAATTAGCCACAGGAGGGAAGAGTACACTACCATTCGCCCATATATAATGCAAAAGTAACACAGAAAAGCTCAGGCCCTTCCCCAGCTCTGCTATGAAATATCCAAATAGGCTCTGGAGAAGTAGCAAAAATGTAGCCAAGAATGGCTGGTGAGAGCAGCTGGACTCTTCCTTCCTAACATTTTATCCACACGCATCCAAAAGCATGTCTGCAATGAATCTCTTTACATGCACTCCAATCTAGCAATACGACTGGAAGCTGAGAATTCATCACTACTTGTAAAAATCAGTTTAACTACCAAACAGGTTAGTCGGCACTGAATTCCAGGTTTTTACTAGCAGTATCCAAACTTACTAGTTTACCGCTGCTATAGCATGCCCACAGGAGCTCCAGTCACTGTAACAAACACATCCATAGGCAGATTCACTAGAAATGGGAGGATCAAAGGCTAAGATGAGTACAGTTCACACACATGTATCATATAAGGCTCTGCATCGAGTGGTACGATGGGAAAGAAGCTATGCCTTTACCAACTTCCCTGTACAACAGCTCTCCAAGTCTACACATAACAAAAGGGGGACTGAACAGATAAAAATGTGTTCTCTTCTGGCTACAAGAGACTTCACTCAATTTTATATACCTTTTGCCTCAAATGACAAGGGTTTTTTTTCAGTAAATTACAATTTTTTCCCCTTTTAGCTCCATTGTAAATACAAGCCTTGGCAAATACTGTTGCTACCAGGGAGAGAGAAAGGGAAATACCATCTCATTCTCAGTGTCTTATTTAGTTTAACAGCACCAACACTAAGTTAAAAATCAAGCAAACTATGGTCTACAATGAATAGCCTGATCTGTTCAGGCTGCTTCCCCCTTGTCCAAAGGCATCAGGTTCAGATGCTATTCAATTCCCCTCCAGTCCACCCAGCATAAAGTAAGCTAATCTTTCCATGGTCTTTCCATTCCACATTCACACCTCTGCTGAGTGTCCTGTTTGCTTTCTATTACTTTTTACAATCAAATAAAAGCCCTTCAAGCTCTGCCGTTTGATTAGGTCTCTTAGTTATTACCTTTTAATCACAAACATCTCTTACCTTCTTCTTAACCCTGAAGCCTGCACTACCGTTCTCTTTTTCTCTCTCTTGAACTTACGATTCCACTCAACACCCAATAGATACAGAACATCAAATTTGAAAAGTTACTAGAATAAAAAAATTGTATGCCAAAACCATCAGTCTGTCAGATTTATAAAGGAATGAATACACAGCTAAATAGTTTGTAATATTGAACTCAGACTGAAAATAATCAGCTGTCGTCTTTTGTTTTTGTGAGAGTCCATCCGAGTCTCCAAATTAAAAAAACACATTCTTGAAAGGACATGAAAATTGAGCTCTGCTAATACGGCGCTCAGTACATATAGAAAAGTCGGAAAGGAAACATTTAACAAAAAATTCCTCCACTTCTCAAAGTGTTGCTAAGTTACCCCCTTCTTTCATAAAGAAAATCCCTGAGCATGTAGGAAATAGAACTACTGAGATCTCTGGTAACTATGCCACACACCAGGGCTTTTTATGCATCTTAATTATAACTTGGCCGACCTACTTTTTCACACTCACTGAAAAACTGTTAAATGAAACCCATGTTTTGCTCATTTTTCCAAAGACATATTTACCATTTCAGTAAAGAACATATGATATGATCTCTTCCAAATTATATAGCTTCATATATTTATCGTGCTGCTTGTTACAGCAATTCAAGTGATGAATCAAATACGTGATTTAGCAACTTTCAGAGATAATATCAATGAAGGTAACCACATGCCTCATTGCATACTTGGACTAACGGCTATGAGAATTTTTCTTAATTTTTGGAACACATTATGCAAATTAATACACTGGCAAGCTGTAAGTTGTTCTGTATGATTCACTACACAATCACCACATGCATTTAAAAGCTATACCTAGCCACTTGCATTTGCCTGCAGAGCCTCCATCTTTGCACTTAAAAAAGAATACATACATATGTGTGTGTGTGTGTGTATGTATATATACATGCATTTAAAATTATGTTCATGGGGAGAACAACTGATGCTCTCATGTCCTGAGAGTTCATGTTCCACACTTGACTGCCAGGGCCTGAGCAAAACAAAAGCAAGTGACTTCAGATCCTCATATTACAAAGCCACCAAGTGCCAAACGAGTTTTTCCCATCATGTTCAAAGGTATTCAGCCAAGACTTTACCTCGGTAGGTGTCTTGACCTTACTAATAGTGACCAGAGGGGAGGAATGGGAATGCCACTTATTGCACTTAGATAGAACATGTAATGCTAAATCAGTATTTGTAAAGTGCTTGGAAAGTCTTAGAGGATAATCTTTAAGCAGAAGTAATGATAAACATTTGCCCTTTACAAAAGTGTATGCACGTTTTTAATACTTGCCTTCATCTGTTCTGTTTATCTCGTGTTCAATGAGCCTTGAGCTACTGGGCCTAGAAGAAGGTGCAACAGATGGCTGTAATGAAGGGAGATCATCAACATCTCTCAAGTTTGCAAGCATATCTTGCAGCTTTGACCTGTTGGGCCCTAGCCAGAAAAAAAAAAAAATTAAATGGTTTATGCATAGTTCATGATGGCACCGATTATATCAGATATGCTACAGCAGCACATGCAACAATGGATCCTACCTTGCATTATAAAGTTACCACAGAAAAACTAATGAGCACCTATTTTCAGCAGTAACTAATCATCCAGCATGAAATGAATTTCTTGAAAAGAAAGTGATAGAAGCAACTGAGAATTGTGAATGCACATTCTTCCCCACATTTATAAACTCATATTGCTACTTGCATGGGATGCTGAAGAATGCCTCTGAGTCACACTGATTATATTAGAGTATTTACTTTTCCAAAACAATAGCTAACATTTGTGAAAATTTTAAAATTTGTGCATCAGGTAGTTTGTGCAGCATATGCTTAATGACAACATGATTATTTTAAAACTTATTTGTGCAGTAGTGTAGTATCGTGAATTATATGATCAAAAAAAATTAAACTTATATTAAAATATAAATGCAACTGGATTCACTGGCCTACTTCCTGAAGCTACATATGGTGAAGACCCATGCCCTTCTTGACACTTACCTGTGCTTTGCTCCATCATTTTCCCACATCCCTGTTTTGATTGTTTTATATAGGATTGAGGCTGATACATATCTTCGGTAGTTTTTCCTGTTGTAAGTTTAATTAAGAATGGGAAAATGTCTTACCCATAGTCCATTATGTTTCTTCCTAGACCAGTAAATAATACAGCTATTTTTAAGCAGCTTTAACACAGAAGTGTACTCTAATATATGTATTCTCTCATAAAACCATTCTATGATTCTATTATCCTACTACTTCACAGGAGTGTTTACTACAGCCTTGCAAAATCACAAGTTTACTAATGCGGTTGCAAACTCTACTTTGTCCACCCTAACCATAATGACAGATAATAAACTAAACTGTATTTAATTTGTCTGTCACAAAAATATTATTTGATTCAGGAAAACAGTAAGTAGGATTTTGCAAGATTGTTTTACTATAATATCTGATTTATAAAACCAGTATTTTACTTAGTAGCAGTTCAGTGTCTAAACACCATTTATGATAAGATTAAAGTCATAGAAACAAACTTTGTACAATTTAATGTCAAGATATTTAGTCTCTTCTTTTTCCCTAGACTTCCTTCCTCACATTTTTCTTCAATATGTGCAATATTATGAATAGCTGAAAACAGGCTGTGATTCTTCCTACTTTTTTTTTGCACTGATGCCCTTTCAATGATGGTTTGTCCATGGAAAGATGCTTAATTTCTTTACTGCAGTAAACCATTTGGTCTCCCAAGATCAAACCAATCAAATCAATCCCAAATGCACTGTAAATGTACTGAGCAGTAGTGATCTTCATGAAGGAGCACTGAATGTCCAAGTGCTGAATGTCCAAGTCAAATCCCCATCAGGGATTTTTCTCATAAAAGATATAAAACATGTTCCAATAATATCTATGTCAATATTAACAATTAAATATTAAGTTTTATTATCGAAAATAAAAAGCACTCAACAGCTGTTTCAGGAATGCAAGTTCAACAGTTTGATTAAATTTCTAAGTTAACCCTACAACTACTTAGCCTAAACTACATAGCATGTCTGTGTATTTTTAAAATAACAGACAAGTTACAAAAATCAATTTCACTGAAGTCGTATATTGGTATGCCCGTTCTCTATCTTAACTATAAAGAAATTTAGAATTAATTTTGTGAAACATGAACACTTTAGTTGGCAAGCTCCACTTATTGTCAGACTTGCAATTAATTTCCAGTAACTTAAATGATTCCAAAGATGACAAAAATGTTACTTGAGAAATGTAAAGTATGGTAGTAATTTACTTTTTTTTAATAAAAAAGAAGAAAAAGGAGGTTTAGTTTGTGTATTTGATAGTGTAATTTCAGCAACATACCCAACTGCTGAGCAGCGGCTTATCACATTTAGTAGCAACACAAAAAGTAACAAGTAACAAGTCAGCCTCAATGATGTGAGGATCTGACACCTTTTGCATTATTATGTCTCTTTGGAAGTGAGAATTTCCTTGGTATTCATAAGCATCTTCCCACAAAGGGAGCAACATCCCTCAAATTTCTTACTGAGCTACATGCAGTAGAATTAATTTACATCATTCACACATGAATTCTCAATATGGCTAGATGTTTGAAATATAGCTGTGAACACAGTGTTTAATTTTAAACACTTCATCCGAGTTCAAAAAGTTTTAAGGCTTACTTATCAAAAAACATTGATTTCTACAAAACAGATTCGTATTTCAAGAAATGTAACAAAAACTATAATACAGGGCTAGAAACTGTATTTCAGATACTGATCACAGTTTTTTGTTTGGATAAAAATACCCAACATTTTTAAAGGCTAGTCCCACAGGTATGAAAGTCGGTAAATAAATCCTGTGATTTACAAATAAACTGATGGCCAGAGTTGCTTCCTATTTCGAGCCCTGCATAACAAATTATGATGACAGCATGACTTTCATGTTGTGAATGTTAAGTATAAACAGGGGTAGAAATTAACCTGTTTTCACCCTCTGTCATCTAACAGGATACTCAAGACCATTTCTGTTTTGTTTTTATAATTTACATACCAGACATTAACTCTTCCTGTGAAACTGGCATGTTTCCAGCTAAGAAAGGGTTCTGAAGTCTTCTATATTAAAGTGTGAACTATTAAACCAATGCCTTTTTACAATTTAAGTTTCTGAATAAGAGAAGTATAATCCATGTTCAAAGCAAGAATTTTCAATTAATCCAACACCTGGTTGGAAGAAGTTGTATCTAATCCAACTATTTAGCAGGTAACTTGATTGACTGTCATTAATTTCAACCCCTGAGAACTGGTGAACAGGAAAGCAGTCAGGAGCAGCAAAGTAAAAGAGTAAGTAATTTTAGGAAAACATTGAAAGAGAGATAGAATTAAGGGTGTGAAAGATGTGGGATTTATGATTTTAAGGTGCAATGTTTTCCACTTACTCTTCACCCCCTTTTTCCCCTTGCGCTCCTTTTTGTATTGTTCCTTGAGTTTGGTTATTACTCCCTGGTCGACATTCCAAGCTTCAGGCATGAGACACTGGTCTTCCTTTTCTAAACAAAGTGAAACAAATGAAACATCCTTTTTCAATAATGTCACCAAGTGATCTCCACTGAAGGAGGTAACAGCTGCTGTCAGTGGCATTTGTCTTTTATTTTAAACAGACAGAAATAGCACCAAGCTTGTGAAAGCTGTAAAACTGCTAGCTCACATTCCACTTCTATTTGCTCAAAATTTTCTTAACAAAAAATTGACATGAAATTGCACATGCCTAATTTCTATAACCAAGCACACAGCTGTTCATAAATGTAAGCAAAATTTACTTTATAATAAATCAGGGCGTATTTTTCAGCTTTTTCTTTCCTCTAGGGAAAGAATTATTGTGTCTAGAAGCAGCAGCTATGTTACTGGTCAATGTAACTTCATAACTCGGTTGTTGCATCACTACATTTCAAATTCTCATTTCATTGTCTTTGTGCTATGTTGTCATTTACACAAAGCAGCAGCACATTTAAATCATTTTGGAACATACTATACATGTCAAGGTTTGAATAAAATCTTAAAGCACTAAACCCCTGCAATTTCAGAAAAAGGGGAAGACCAGAGTTATTAGTCTTTGAAAAAATACACAAAACATTTCAACATGCCAAATGAAAAAAAAACCCACCTTTTTTCCTTTTTAAAAAAAAAAAAAATCTCTCTCATTGCTTCCCCTGTGACATGATACAGAGAAGTATTCTTCCAATAGTATTGTATTTGGATATTTTTAACAAAACATGTTACGTGAGTTCAAATCTTCAAGTCATTTTTTCCATATGGGTAAAGACTGTACTGAGGCAGCTTAGAAAAATAATTTGCAAGAGGATGGAGGTAATACAGCTTTTCCTCATACATCTTTATTGTCATGATCATTACAGCTATAAAATTTTTTGAAATGCGTTATCTTTTTACTTTGTTTTCCTCATTAAAATCTCAACCTTATTATTTTAAAAATTAATTCCTTTCAGACCAAGTTTGCTTTGTACATCAACAAACTATTCTAGACTTTTTAAAATACAAACAATAATGAACTTATCCTCAGACTAATATGCAGAAAGGGTATTAAATGTCTGTAAAGGAAGCACAACACTATCAATCACAATCTGAAGGAGTCACTTCAGATAGACGATACAAACCCAGACATGGGTTATCATGGGGACTGACTTGTTAGAAATGAACTATGGTCAAAAAGACCTAGGAATCCTCCATCAACATCAAATTGAACAGGAGTCAGCTGCATACTCTTCTAGCAAGTGCGATCAACTATATCCTAGGTTGTATTAACAAGAAGGTAGCCAGTAGGGTGAGGGAAGTGATTATTCCCCCGTTTGGCACTTGTGAGACCACACCTTGAGTACTGCATCCAGTATAATATTTCTTACACTGGGAAACCTTCTAAGTATAATGCGAAGTGCCTAGTATTGATGTAGCACAGCAAGTCCAGGGGAGCCACTAAGATGGTCAAGGCAGCTGGAGTAGATGAACTACAAGGAGGGGCTGAAGGTACTGTGAGTGTTCAGCAATGGCAAAAGAGGCATCTTAGTGCTGCCTACAACTACCTTATGTGCGGCTGTAGAGAAGACAGAGGCAGACTCTGCTCAGACACGCATCACAGAAGGGTAAAATACTTTCTACCATGAGGATAGTCAAATACCAGAATACTGCCTTGGAAAATTTATGGGAATTCCTTTCCTGGAAGATGTTTAAAACTTGAAAGGAAGAAGGCCAGAGTAACCTGCTGCAAATGGACCTGAGCAGGAGGTGGGACTAAATGATTTCTCACTCCTTTGAACGTTCCACTCATGATCCTATACTCATGAGTCACATGTTAATTCAAGACCCAAAGTCTTGAGGCATTAGTCTTTTTGCAGCAGCTAGGAAAATGAATAGGTACTAATAAGCTGAAGAGAGACTCTAGAAAAGATGGTCTGTGGGCTAAAGTCATGTCCTCTTAATACACATGCCAATTAAGTACCACTAATGATCAAAAATTGTGTGAAGAACCCAAAAAAGGTCTGAGAAAATCATGCTTGAGAAAAACATGTATTCTTTCTGGGATCAGGTTGTAAGTTTTAATCGTGCATTTCCTCCCTGGCTGGACAAGATTCTTTGCTCTTCTCCAACAAAAAGTTTAAATGGATTTATATTAGATTATATTTTGCCAGGAAAATATTTAACATACAAATTTTATACAGACTCTTCCTCTTCCAGGATGCTTCCTGCATGTCCCACAGGTTCTGTTCAACTTCACAAGTATATTATGAACTACTACTGAGCAAGCCCTTTACAGTTTAAAAAATACCTGAATGCTTCTGAGGACCTTTCAAGCCAAATCTGTGCAACAGTTTATTGTAACAGATCAGTAATGCTTGCGATACAAAATGAAGCAAGGTCTTCCTCTGTTTGTTTCTACCCTTGCTACACAACATTACTCTTCTATGCTAACAGTTTCACTTACATCAAATTAACAAAAGTGATTCATAATGGCAGTTCCTTAAAGAAGCTTATTCTTATATACAGTTACTCTAGAAGACACAGGTTGTGAAACAAGTCATCGAAAACCATAAGCATCTATAACTCAAAAAACCCCTTACAATTTCTAGAAATGAAACTACTTTTCATGACAATTTCTTTTCCATGTTAGACTTTTACTCATTTGTACCCAGCTGTCATCAATGAACGTAAAAATAAACCAGAAGTGTGAATATGAGAACAAAAAATCTCTTGTTGGCATACTAACTTTTCAGTGACACAAGCCATAGCTACACTTATCAAGCATCAATGGATAAAATTTTAATATTAAAGAGAAGTATCAGAACAACCTAATAAAGATACTTTTTGTAAAAAAGAGTAACATTCCTAAATTTGTTTGGTGAACAGAATACTGACTGCTATATCTAATGATATTGAGACTCACCCTCTTAAGCAGAGGGGCTACATAATGGAGTCCAGCCATGAGTTGGACATGGCTTCAGCAAATACAGCATCTCGGAGCTGTTAGCTCACATGGGAGCCACAGCTACCATGGCATATTTGTCTGTCAAGGTTTCAGTTCCATTATAAGGCTCAATTATTTCCCATTCATCTTCCATATCTCCCTCTGTTTCCACTTATGCTGAAGACTTTCCAGAGCAGCATAAGGAGGAAACAACTCCCCATCAAGATATTTAACCAGTTCTTTTCCTTCTTCCCTTCCCCATGCAGTGGGTTTATGTGGGATAATTATGTCAAGGTGAAGTGGATGCTGGCATTCTGGGTTGCAGGATGTGAACCTCAAAGGACAGGGGACAGTTTGTGAAATGTCACTCTATGACTAGGGGCTTAAAGATATATTCTTCTAATAAGTTATAAAAGAAAATTTGAGCAACTGAATAGTTCATATTGCCCAAATTGCTAACACACAATAAAAGTACAAGTAATCCAGTCTTCATGACTCACATTACTCTCTGTATCAAAGTGGGAGAAAACAAAGATGATGATACAACTTTCATGTTTGTAATTGTAAAATACAGCTTTATCAGAGCCCTTCATTAACATGGGTCACTGAAAAAACGCATCAAAATTCCACTCATAAAATTCAAATTCTATCTGCCTTATTATTAAAGAAAAGGAAAAAGACAATGACCAGAAACATAAACCTTGAAGAATCCTTACATTAAATGAGCATATACAAAAATGAGAATATCATGTCAAGAGGACCTCAAGTCTGACAATTATTTACTGTAAGAAGACTCAAAAGGTGCCGTGATCATGACAGAGATCTAAATCAATCAATCAATCACAATATATTCTTAGCACAATTTTTTTCTCCTGGTACAATCTATTACATTTCCTTACCCCAGTCTGTTCCATCTCCTGAACTTCGCGATTCCCCGTCACCTTCATCTGAGGTAACCAAAAAGTCAAACTCCTTCAAAGCTTCTTCTGTATCTCTGTCTTCACTGCTGTCAGATAGCACTCTTTTCCTTACAATCTGAAAGGTCAGGAAGGAGAGAAAAAAGCTGAATTAAGTTACACACACATCTTTTTATCAAGCAGTACCGTCTTAGTTATATGCACATCTTGTCTTGTCTTCTACGCAAAATCCTAACAGGAAGTTGAAGAAGCAGAAAAGTATACCTTAATAACCAAACCTAGAATAAGCATACAGACTTTATTCAAATTTTTAAGTCTAAATGAAATTTGTCTGTACGTCTTTCTTCCTGTGACCACCAATAATCAATCACTTGTTAACAATCTACACTGACCTAGATCACTACTAATTTTTTTAATACCAGAAAAGTACAAACTTTCTCTTAATACAGATTTAAAAAACCACACAAAACCCACAAACAAAAAACCACGAATGCTGTAGAAAGGACTTCAGCAAAAACAAACTCACTCTGCTTCTCTGAAAGTAGCCTTTTTAACTCTCACCTATGAAATCTCTCTACACGTGGACCAAAAGACGAGTCTATGGGAAAAAAAAGGACAAACCCACAACTGACAAGAGCTAATTTGCTTAGACTTGGCAAAAATCAGTCCATCCATCCTGAGTACTTCTGTTATTTAAACACAGTACTTCCATGTTTAAATTGCATTTCCCTTTCAGATTCAAAAGCAAATTTGGTAAAAAAGAAGTTTTAATGAATTTTGGTAAAAGAAAAAAACACATTTTAATGAAGGACCTCATTGTATGCTTTCTGCAATAAATTTGCTTTTCCATCAATTATCAAAATGGACTAGATGCTTTACAGTTATTTGACTAGTAGGTGAGCTGATGCCACGATACATGAAATCTGTAGCATGTTTTACTTCTACAGCAGAAGAAAAATTACATTCATCACAATATTTTGACTTGGAACCTTGCTAAGGGTCAGTCTGAAAAGACGTCAGTACACAAGCCAACATCCCATAGTTCATGAGGATCAATAAGTTTCCTCTAAATACAATGAACTAATTTCAAAATCTGAACCTAAACTTTAATCTTCATTCCTTCGGCAGGCTTACTCAACACACTGCATTACAGATGATTTTACAGAGCAGTCTCTGACATTAGTTCACAGCTCATGGATGACAGGAACAAGTTTACAAAGATCCTCTTTAAAAACCCTTTAAAACTGATGGGTTTTTAAGTGCTTTTTCTTAAAACTGATCATAGAAACAATCACATCCATCAAAACTCGTATCTGCTTCAATTGCTAAGAAACACAATTCATTGAACAAATATTACTTTTGAAAAGAATAGGATAAAATGGAGTACTGATTGTATATATCAATTTTATGTGATCATATGACCAAATCATATGGCAAAGTATGGATCATGTGGGAGTTTCAGGCATGTGACTGAATAAACAAACAAAAAAGTTTATTAACAACATTAGAGTTTTTCCAGTTATAATACTTCTTCCTTCCACAAGCTATTTAAAGAGAAATATGGTATTTCAGTTCTGTACCCTACAAGGGTAAATTTCTACAAGTCATTTTAAACATCAATACATTTATATAAATATTCAAGAAACAACACATTTTCGACACGCAACATTACAAACAATACCTTCAAAATAAGCTGAAAATTGTAAAAAAGGACAGCTGCTACCTTAAAAATTGTATCCAATATATATGAAAAATAGTAGGGAGTATGGAATAGTAGAAAGACAATTTAAAAAAATTTTTAATCTGTCACTGCAAACTTAAAGAAATAAAGATGGCAAAGATTAACTTGTATGCACAAACTCAGAAATGCATATATAATTCCTATTATGCACACATGCGTGGACAGACCATCATAAAGATGCATTAATGATTTGCACGTGTACATACACAGTCACATATTTTGCATATAGGCATCTCATTAATCTCACTTTTTCTGTTCTTCGAAACTTTTTCAATTATTTTTTCCACTCACTGTTGCAGTATCAATGATTGTTTTCTCTCTTCCTTCAATGTCGTCTTCATCTTCTTCATCACTAAAGTCTGCAGCTGCATTTTCAAGAAACTTGAAGGTCTCTAGCAGAGAGGCAGAGTCAGTCAATTCAGGTTTCCTAAACAACAACAACAACCACCACCACCATGAGTTGAAAGAAATAATAACAAAGTCACTTTTGCAATTACCAGTCTATTCTGTTTTATGATGTTCAACACCACATGAGACTAAAATAAGCCTACAGGTAAAATATATATATTACAGGTAAAAATGTTTTGTGGGTTAGAAACTTAAACATTATCCATAAACTATCTTATTAGAAAGAACAATTATTCTTTACCCAGCTGCAATTACCATGACCGACACTTCCATTTTTTATTTGAAAAGCATTTTAAAGCAACATTCATCTGATATGTGCCCAAAAGCAACATCAATACTGATATACCACCACTGAAAGCCTCAGCAACACGGACATGAGTTGCAGCTACTAAGGTGGCCTCCCACATGTACATCAGGGTACAGGAAAACTTTGCTGCTGCTATCTGATGTTTCTCACCTTGCTGGGAAACATCAAACGCTAGATCTATCATTCATTAACTTTTGAGACACTTTTTGCCACTATAAAACAATATAATGGGAAAATATAATTGATGACTAAATAATGTCCACATAGACATTAACATTAAGCAAATAAGGAAATGTATGAAGATTGGGTAAAATTATGACTGCACTGGCACAAATTCAGGCAGTGCCTCAGAACAGGAAGCATAAGGGTTGTCATAATAATAACTAAAGATGAAGAACCCAAGAAGCAGGACTGTAACCTTTATTAAAACTCTGATGAAGGTACAATTAAAGCAATGCTAAGCTTAACAACAGGTATCATGTTTTGTATGTAGAAGATGCACTTCTCCATCAATCCCTGAAAGATAGTGGTGAAAAAAGATTGTTCCATTTGAATTGTAATGATTACTTCCAGTAAAACCTTGTACATTCTTTACATGACTTTACAGCAGTAAAGAAAAGCTTTATTTTTTTTCTTACCTTTAATCAGTAGTCTGTTTGTCATAGTTCATCACTAAATGCACGCCATCTTGATTTTCACAACCACTGAAACCATAGAAGTCTCTCTCTCTTTTCAGAATTGTAGCTCTAAATTGTCTCGTACAGTCACCCTTACCAGCACCACTGGTAACACCAGCAAGTGCATTGCTAATGCTACATTTTTGCTTCTGCTATGACCCATTTCAAAAGGCTCAATCAACTGACAAGCCTTAGTATACAGGCCTTTTAAACTCCCTGCTGTGTAAACAGCTGATTATCCATCCATTACCCGCTTATTCCTGTGTTTCTTCATAACACTTTTCAAAGGTTTATTACAGGAAACATCCAAGGGCAAAAGCTCTCATGTATAATAAGGCATGATAAACAGCACACTTCTTTCTTCACGCAGTCCCTGCTCAAGCAGTTCTATGCTTACATGACAACAATTAGCAGGAGCGGCTTCTTCATAGCCCAAATATGTCTGCATCTCATTAAGACAATTTGCCATCCTACTCTTTTTTCATTTATTCATCTTTACTATCCAAAAATACCAGTAAGGATTTCACTCACCATTAGAAATTCCACATATACAGCAGCATAATAATACCATGATGTACGGTATGTTTTCATATTCACTGGTTTTACTGAGAATATTCCTTCTACTTTCCCATATCTTATCTGAGAACAATCTCAAACATGCTTCCAATTTGCCTTGCTTCCTGCAGTATTTTGACCCCTTAGTTTCTATGACAAACCTGAAAGTACTTTGTAATATTTTTCTTTTTCCTTAAGTAATCACTACTTTGGCAGACTATACTACCTCATGAATCTGTAGTAATAATGTACATTTTCACCAAAATCCTATGGTACTGTTATTTATCCACTTCCAACACACAAATCTTGATAAGACAAAGCTTCTAATTTGCTTCATTTGACTACATACTTTTCTTTACACATCTCATGCATTGGAAAACGTAGTTTATCATGTATTTCAAAACTCCTGCACACTACAAAAAATGTACAAAGTCAGCATAGTACAACAGAAGATTATTTGTGCTAAGGCACAACTTCCAAGAAAGAATTCCTAAGAACCAAAAAAAAAGAAAACAGAAGTGACAGAATACTTCAACTGTTTAAAGGTTCTACAGGGAAGAAAAGCTTCAAGCTGACAGACAGGTTGATTTGCTATATTGTACCCCAATACGCTTTAGCAGTCAAAATCAAAAGTAACTCAGTAATTTAGCTATTTTTCATCTATTAGCAGTACATGAACATAACACATTTTAGATATTACTGTCAACATGAACACTTAGGAATACTGTAAAATATACTCAAGAAAGTGTCTAGCCTTAGCTAATTTGTGTGATGTACTTTGATGGCAATTTAAAGTTTGCTTGTTTCATTACTTTACATCTGTTTAGTTTGTTTCTGTTATGGGGTCATTCACAAAGCAACATAAAAAAGCACAAGTGGCAAAAACATGTTCAGAGATAGGGTAGCACAATAAATTACTTTAGATTCTATTTTAGAAAAAGAAACACAACTCAACATTTCCAGGGTTTTTGTAGTCTAATAATACTTTTTAAAAAATTAATGGGTGAAAACGATAGAATGGCGCTCCAAAGGCAGGGATTGATGCATGAACTGTAGCATTACAGGCATGAGTAAGGCAAAACTATGGCAAGGTTCAGGAGCTGTTGCAAGTAAAGGGAGACCAAAAAACCCAAAAAGGTCTCAAAAAGAAGAATTATCCTCTATTGGCCTGTCCTGGATCAAAACGTATACAAGGCAGAACATCATTTTCAAAGTGCAAGAACTTCGGTGTCGCTTTTCCTTTCTTCCCTAGCCATTCTGTCTAAAGAAAAACCGATGGGGAAGAACAAGCCAGAAACCCCAGACAGCAGGAACAGCTACAGAAGCTGCCAAAGCAGAGAGCATAGAGCAACCAGATTTTGGCAGGACTTCCTCAACCCTGTGCTCCTCAGCTGCTTGTTCTGAACCTCTTTCCCACTGCTCCTTCCTCAATTATACTCTGTAACAGCACCCTTGCATGGTTTTCTCCCTGGAACCTAACCTTGCCTTCTTTCCTTCAGAGTTTCATCCCAGTTGACTTACCACTTCCTAACTAAACTTAAAAAAACAAAAATTAAAAAAAAATCTGGTAACCAATATAACATCTTCTATCAGATATTGTTAAGTCTGTACATTATATCCTCCTCTTCAGCAGCCTTATCCAATCAGACAGTAAAGTTATTGGGGCAGAGAGACTACCTGCTACTTGTGTCTGCACATGATTAAGTGCAACAGGACTAACTGCTTGCCACAAGCATGACAAGTGCGATAAGTAGAGTTCCAGAAAGTAAAGTATAGCTACACTAATGCTGCTGGATTTTCCATCTTACTACTAATGGATGGGCAGCACACAGATTTTGTGAATATGATACGATATGTGAATATGTGAAGCTCCTTGACACAGGGAGCTTTTGATCCCCAAACATAAGGCACTTTTTCTGGAAACTGATTCCCTTAACGCAACGTAAACCTGAAATCACCTGAATATTTTTCTCCTCAGGAGAAGTTGCCAGAATTTTCTGCAGCTGTGACTGCCCTGAAAATCTCATCCCAACTTGAATTTTACAGGCTGTTCAATTATTCAGATTTGTCTTAAACCCTTGGCCTCTTTAAGACTAAAAATAATAATAATCACTTCCCATGAAATCAAAGAAATATGATTTGTGGATATTCCACGAGTACTATTTAAAGCAAGTGTGGATCTCACTGGGCCTCTGCAGGCCATACAGCCAACTCTTCATCTTCTACCCTACAGTCACACAGCTCAAAACACTATTTTGTGTAAAATCCAGTTGAGCCCGGTATCAAAATATTAGTAGCCTCACAAAATGCATAGTGTTCAATTGGCTCTCAACATTTAATATTCAGAATCACAAATCCTGTTTCTTACCGAGTAGAAAAGTAGAAAGCATAATTTATAGGAAAAATGAAGTTGTTACATGGCAACTTTCATGTGCCCAACATGGTCCAGAACATTGCACATTGCATAGTCAAGTTTAACTTTGACTAAAGCCACATTACAGACATGTATTTTCTTTGCAACCACCATATTCAATATTTCTTTCGTTACCTTCTCCTTTGTTGATAACATCTCTGGGGACTCTGTGGTCATGTCCAGGGAGACTCTCATAAACTTCTCCCATGAACTGCCCAACCACAAGGCTATTACTGCCTCAGTCCTACTCACCCAAAGGAAAAAGTAGAGAGGTTTTTTGTTTGTTTGTTTTATCCAAGACATACACAAGTTATCTTAAATAAAACCAGATTTTATTGATAAATTCAGAAGCAGGAAAAAATACCACAGTAACGTTAAATAAACACAAGTTCAGCCTAGGCTGAGAAATGTTTCTGGGGGTCTGTGCAGGAAAAAGCCTGTTGTGACCTAGCATTCAAAGAGCTATTCTAGCATATTTTTTCTTGAGCCATTTTTGTTGGCTCAGTTTTCTCCCACTATCAAAATATGCTACTACAAGGTCATGAGTTTTATTAATTCCCCATAGAATTTAGTTATTTTGTGTTTTAACAGTCTTTTCAATGTGTTGAGTTCTTTCAAACTCGATGCAGTAAATAAATGCATGCAAATTCAAATTTATTCTCTTCTATGACAACTGTCTTTAAGGAACAGTTTGCGAATCTTCAACACTGTGCAAAATCTTTCATAATGCAGCACAGAAAATATCAAACTAAAAAATTATAAAACTACAGAACCCTTACAATCATCAAAATTTACACACAAGGAACATGGGGCAGGCTAGACTGTTACAACCTTTGAAACTTCTTATGAGTTCACACCACACAATGCAAGAACCAGTGCAATACATACTACAACTGTTAAGCAACACTTACAAAATGGTTTGGATGTAAATTGGAATCATGAAGGAATGCTATTTAAAAAGGAAAGGCCACTTTTGCCAAATCTAGTCAAATAACTACCTGACAAATAAACAAGCTTTTTAAAGAATAAAAATAAATTCAGTGTTTGAAGAAACAAAGCAACCTTTT